CCTTATTCTGGACCTGCTGCCAGCGGCTGGAATGTAAAGAGGGGATCGTTTCCTTGTTTCTACTCGTGTACCTGAATATGGCCTGGGGAGAAGTGCAGACCTCTATTTGAAATCTTGGCAGGTGCTCCCCGTCTCCCACGGGGAGCTGAAGCAGCAGAAACAGACGAGCTTCTACCTCCCCCCCCCCCCCAAAAAAAAAAGGAAAAAGAGAAACCAAGCCCTCAACGTGATTGGGCTCAGATTCATCCAGAGCTGCATTGAAGTGCAGCTAGATACATTCTGGGAAGTGGTACGTGACTATGCAGACCTCAATTTGAAATCTTGGCAGGTATTGGGCGTCGCTGCACTACACAACACTGTACATGCATTTGGACGCTTTATTGACCCGATATGTTCACAACGTTGGAATCGCCCGAATGCACCTGGTCGTATAAGCGACCAAATGCATGTACAGTGTTGTGTAGTGGAGCGAGGACGACTGAGTGGTCCCCGTCTTCCACGAGGAGCTGAAGCAGCAGAAACAGACGAGCTACTACTTCACCAAAAAAAAAAGAAAAAAAAAAAGAGAAAAGAGAAACCAAGCCCTGAACATGATTGGGCTCAGATTCATCCAGAGCTGCATCCAAGTGCAGCTAGATACATTCTGGAAAGTGGTACGTGACTGTGCAGACCTCGATTTGAAATCTCGGCAGGTATTGAGTGCTCCCCGTCTCCCACGGGGAGCTGAAGCAGCAGAAACAGCCGAGCACCTGCTTCCCAAAAAACAAAGCGCTGCTCACGTCACTGCTTCAGGCCAAAAATGCGTCCGGATGCATGCGAACTTACTTTTCATTTTCTTTTCACCTTCTTGGCACTGCTCATTGCATAGAGCGTCCGTGCATGTTTCCACATGCACGGAAATCCAAGGGGACGTATTGCAGTCCATAGGGCAGCTTTTCTTGGGCCCCCTACCTTTCTCCCCCATTGCGACTCCGACCCTCCCCCGAACCCCACAAAGTGCGGCGCGTATACGGGAAAGCCCCGCGGCCGATGTATGGGCCAGGTACTGGTGGTTTAACATAATCGGTGTTCGGATGCCTCCAATTTGAGTAACGGCCAAGAGGCCACCAGATGTGCTGCATCGTGCTGAACTCAAAACTATGTGGAATCAGGCGCAGGATAAATGGAGTATTTGATCTTAAACCACCACTACATTTCCCTGCTCGCGCCACGGGATATATGGAGTATCTCGATCTTAAACCACCAGTAGACTACCCCGCTTGAAAATAAAAGTTGTACCGGTGTATTCGGAAGCCACGCGGGAAGGTCCGCCGTTGATAAATTTCATCGGCGGCCCGTTTTTTTTTTCGGGCCTCCAAAATTTCACCGGTGGCTGATATATGGGTAACGATATGGTGGTTTAAACCACCCCTCTACCCGCCTCCTGTGACGTGCCCCCCCTATGAGTTTAGGCGGTTTTTTCGGGGGGTGGCAACCGTTGCCATTCGGCGGGCCTAGTCCCACAATTTCAGAGTGACCACTTTGTTGATTTTTCGTGCTCAGAAGAATTCACAGAAATTCTAAAACTTTGAGGGTCCGTAGACTAGGTTGTGATCTTTCCAGGAAAAATATCATTAAAAACTAGGAAGATGTTCATGGCCGGCCGGTCACCCGGGCGTGACCCTCGGCCAAATTTTTGTATTGCAATTCTACACCATTTGTCTTTTTTAGTTTTTTTTGGAGGGTTCGTTTTTTTTGTTTTTTTTTTTAATGCACTGGGGCTGCGTGTGCGCATGCCCTGGTGCCAAGTCCCACTTACCCAAGTTCTTGATTTCTGATCGTAGATTCTGAAGGTCAACGACCAGAAATGACGAATTCAGGCAAGTGGGACTTGGCCTCGGGGGTCATGCCCAGCGGGTCATGCGGGCGTGACGTTGGGACCCGCGAGCCTAGGATATCTCCCTAGATAGAAAATTTAATTAAAATCAATTTGCCCGTGAAAGAATCGCCATGCCAATTCGGCATATTTCCATTTTTGTTTTACCATTCATGGCCAGAAGAGTTCACCGAAAACTCTACAAATTTGAGGGTCTGTGGATTAGCTCGTGAACTTTCTAGAAAAATATCAGAAAATCCAGAATCATTTTGCCCTTAAAATAATTGCCATGCCCATTCAGCGCATTTCCATTTTGCCACTCTACCATGTGTCGGCTAACATAGGAAGTACCGCAACTTTGGTGATTTTTCGTGCTCAGAAGAATTCACAGAAAATTCTAAAAATTTGAGTGCTCGTAGATTGGGTCCTGATCTTTTTAGGAAAAACATCAGAAAAAAAAGAAAAAAAAATGATTTGCCTGTTAAATAATCGCCGTTCCGATTTGGCATATCTTCATTTTTTGCCACTCTGGGACCAAGGGCAGGCCCCACACTGACCCACTGATAGGCCACCTGCCTGTTTGAAAAAACTGCCTACCGGTCCTGACTTTCTGATGGTGGGTAGAGGGGTGGTTTAAAGTAAGAACTCTGCCAATACTGTAATAGCGCGATAGTGCTCTACATACCGCAATGGCCGTTGTCATTGTGAGAGTCTCACCTCTTCACGCTTCACAAAACTGTAGTCTTGGTCCATATCTTTGTCCAGATATATTTAGTGAAATTCTTAGTTGAAGAGATAGCCTCCACTGCCTGTTACTTTGCAAAATGAACTTCTAGGCCCGAAATCCTCTTCGCCACAATGGGGTCTAGGCCCCAGAATGAGTGGGTACTGCAAGGAACATGAGTATGGACGAAGCACAGAAATCTAGAATGCAAAATCACACTGAAGTCCAAGTAGTCAAAGCCAGAGCAGATAGCACAATGGAACCGAGTAACCATCCAATTGAGAATGATACAGAAGAATCGTGAGTCAATGTCCAAGCTCAATAGGGCAACACCAACAACATAACCCAATGTAGCTCTCTCTTGTGAATGGCGCCAGGCGCCCTATCTACTCTACAGACTAAGCCTACAACTACAGCAATGAAACCAACCAGACAACTTGACTACCAGCGAGTGATGATGTCAACACCAATGCCGACCTCCACCTTCACCAGGTACGTGTCCTCTTCACCCACAATCTCCCTTGTACCCACACAGCGCCCTTCACCTCCGAAGAACCACCTTCGCCCTTCACCCCTTTGCGCACACAGGCAGCCCGGCTATGGCCGCCAGCGCCCTGCGCCCACAGGCAGCGCCCTACCGCCTAGCGCTGTCCTGCTTTTCTCAGCCCTTAGCGCAGCGCAGCAGCGTGCCGGCCTTGCTCRCAATGGCCAAGATCCCTGCCCACTCGCCCTGCTTGCCTATATGCCAGTGTTGCGTGTGGGCGGCCTCCCTTCAGCCTGTTCTGGGCCCATGTGGCTGAACCCAGCCCGATACAGTTGAGGCCTGGGGCAATGCAGTTGCGCCTCTTTCATCAAGGCCTGCGCCCAGATTCAGATAGTGGGCCGATTTCCCTTTGGCATTTTCGGCCTCTATGCCCAACATGCATAGTCGGCCTCACGTTCAAGCACCCAAGGCCTAACTAACTTAGAGGCCCTGGGTTTTCAGCATTTGCTGAAAGTCGAGACTCGGTGCACTCCAACCAACTGGCGTGCTGCAACTGTATGAACCCCACTTCGGGAAATGTTTGCAGAGAGGGCTCTTGTTGATTTGCTGGCCCGCCTTTACTTAGGGCGGGCACTAGGCTTGCTGGGGCCTTAGCCCAGAACATGTACATCATGGTAAGGCCCTTGAGCGCTGAATCCTCACATTCCATCCCCCTTAGCTTCGAAAGTTCGTTGAGATGCTTACTTCGCAGGAGCCTTCCCTTTCAGTAGCCTTTCATATTCTGCCACCACCTGAGGAGCTGTCTCAATTAGTTCCTTCGTATGATGCCTATGATGCCTGAATCTGACGCGGTACTCTCTCTTGGGTTTAGGAGGTCTTCCTCGACCCAGCGGCTTTGGAACAGACATTTCCCTGTGATCCACAATGTCGTCGATGTCCACTTGTCCATCCATGGTTGGGGGCAACATCGATCTCCTGGAAGTGAATTGATTTGTCTCAGCGAAAGGTGCAAGCTTTGAGGCATGAAAGATTGGGTGAGTGCGTAGGTGTCCAGGGACGCAAATGACATATGTGGGACCATCCATCTCATCTCCCACTATATCCAAGACTTCCTAGGGACCAGAGTAGTGAGGCATTAGTTTGCAAGAGATTTCAAACTCCTGTCCTAACTCACTAGCCTTGACCCAGACTCGTTCCCCTACCTGAAATGTGGATTGTCTAGGATGTTGATTCTCAGAAGCAATCATTGCTAGCTGAGCTTTCTTCATATGCTCGACAACCTTTTGTAGCAACTTCTCATATTGCACACCATGCTCTAGTGTGCCTGGAGTTGCAGCGGGTCGGTTTTCAGGTAGGAGGAAGTCTAGTGCTGATCTAGGCTTCCATCCCAAGTGCAACTGATTAGGACTAATGCCGGTACTGCTATGGATAGCATTTTTGTACAGGCTGGCGATGAGAGGCAACTGCTCATCCCAATCACCTTGGCTGGGCTTGATGTAATGCCTCAGCAAGTGCTGTACAACTCTGTTCATTTATTCGGCTTGTCCGTTGGCTTCGGGATGATTCCCTGAAGTCATTTGAAGTTGACTGCCCATCTGTTCTGCAGTCTTCTTCCACAGCTCACTTGGTAAATCAAAGTCACGGACCCAGTTGTCTTTGAACAACTTGATGACGTAGTCAGTTCTTGCGGTCTCTGGCATAGCTACTAGTCTAGCGTACTTGGTGCCTCTTGCCACTCTTACTAGCCACCAGGGTGTCCATGAAATCCATGGAGACACTCTGCCTTGGACCAGCAGGAATAGGCAAAGGCTTCCACAACCCAAGCGGTGCTTGAGTTCGCGGCTTGACTCGCTGACAGAGTTGACAAGTCTCTACGTACTTCTTCACGTCATCCAACATACCAGGCCACCAAAATCGCTGTACTAAGTTAGCACTCGTCTTCTTGTAGCCAAAGTGCCCGGTTGCATCATGACATTCGCCTAAAAATAAACTACGCAAACGTTCACTAGATGGAACTACTAACCTTTTTATTCATGCCTTATCAAGATAGAGTAACCCGTCCACGATCACAAACTCACTTTCCGTCCTGTCTTTTGCCTGAAGTTTGCGCATGATGTCCATCGTGACAGGGTCTTCCTGATAGGCTCCTACCAATGGTTGAGTTACTTCGCCAGATAGGCCAAAGTCAGAAACAAGCACACCTAGGTAGTCTGCTCTACGGGATAGCGCATCCGCAACCTTGTTGTACTCTCCCTTTAAGTACTCAAGCTTGAAGTTATATTGGTCTATGACCTCAATCCATTGCTTGAGTGCGTCAGAAAGAGTCGGTTGAGTCTTGATCCATTTGAGGGTCTGATGATTAGTCCTCAAGTAGAAGAACCTTCCCGATAGGAAGTGTCTCCAATGGACAAGTGCTTTGTACAGAGAATAGAGTTCCCTTTCGTAGGTGGATTTTGCCAACTTCTTTGATGGCATCTTCTTACTCATGTACTCGATCGGTCTCAACTTTTTCCCATCTTGCTGAGCCAGCACTGCACCAATGCCGTATTGGCTTGCATCAGTGGTCATTATGAATAGATTCTGAGGATCGGGAACCATGAGGACCTCATGATTCATGAGTGCATGCTTCAATCTCTTGAAAGCACCCTCGCACTCATCACTCCAGTCCCACAGTGTGTCAAGTCGAGTTAGATCAGTCAAAGGAGAGGTGACTGTAGAATAGTTCTTTATGAAGTTTCTATAGTAGCCGCACATTCCTAAGAATGATCTGACCTCAGTGACTGTCTGAGGTCGTGGCCGGTCTCGAATACTAGCCACCTTGGCATCTTTCGGCCTTATCTCCTCCGCGGATACTTCATGACCCAAGTATAGTATCTTAGTGCGGCCAAACTCACACTTCTCTAAGTTGACCTTATACTTGTGCTGTTGCAGGAGTGAGAGTACAGTCTCAATGTGCTTTGCGGGCTCCTCGGCAGACTTAATAAAGATCAGAATGTCGTCTAAGTAGACCACGACAAACTTATCTAAATGGTCATGGAAGATCCGATTCATAGCATGCTGAAATGTTCCCGGCGTGTTACAAAGACCAAAAGGCATCACTACAAACTCATACAGACCATAACGAGTTTGAAAAGTTGTCTTGTGTTGGTCCTTTGGCCTTATAGCGATCTGATGATAGTCGGATTTCAAATCTATCTTGTTATAGTACTTGCATCCCTGCACCCTATCCAATAGGTCGTCTATGCGAGGTAGAGGCTTTGCGTTTTTCACTGTGATGGCATTGAGGCCTCTATAGTCAATGCACATCCTCAAAGTACCACCCTTCTTCGGTACGAATAAAACTGGTGATCCGTAAGGGGAAGTACTAGGTCGGATCCATCCCTTCTCTATCAGCTCCTTAAGCTGTCGCCGAAGTTCATCTAACTCGGCGGGGGCCATCCTATAGATCCTTCCCTTTGGGGTCTTACTCCCTGGAATGATTTATATAGTGTGGACGACTTCCCTTTCAACAACTCCTGTGGGCTCCTCGAACAGATCAGGGAACTTAGCAACGACGCGTTCTATCTCTGGGGATGTTTTAATGGCCTCCCCTTTCTCAGAGACATACACAAGGTACATACCCTCCTCTTCGTTTTGCTTGTAATAATTGTAGAACGCTGATGCGGACAAGCAGCCATAGGTATCTATAATGCTACTCACAAGCCCACGTCATCTTTAGTAGAAGCCGCTAAAACTTCCATTGGCCTCACGTGTTTCTGAGCTTGAAGCCTGGGAATAAGATGCCCCCATCTTTGGAGGTATCTTTTGCGTAACCTTTGCGTTCTGGCACTTGTATTGCGAGTGTCCGTCTTCCCCACAATTGATACAAGCGCCACGCACTCGGCGGTCACGCCACACGTCCTGATCAAGATCTGCCTTCACCCATTCAGCCTGCTTGGTCTGATTGGAGGCGGCCTTTCCTTGACTCCTAGGCTGGCCCTTCACTCGGCCACCTGCCTTAGTCTTTACTACTGCGGCGAGGGTGCTACCCTCATAGTCCATCAGGTCAGTGAGCTCGTCGATCTCTGTTTGAGTCCCATTGGACTCAACCATCATCAACTTAGCCCCTTTCTTCTTCGACTCCTGAGGACTCTTCTTCTTCCTCGTGTTAATATGAGAGGTTGGTTGAGCATTGCCTAGCGTGTCCTCCAAATCTAAGGCTTTCCTAGACAATGTCTCAAACGAATGGTACTCAGTGCGTGTCTCGCTGGCCAGTAAGTTCCTGATGTTCTCTGGTAAGCGTCTAACAAACGTAGTTAACAGGAACTGGTCACTGTAGTTGATGTCGGGGACGAGGATCAGGCTCTCAACGGTAGTCGTAAGCTCTCTGACCGACCATAACTTTCGTTGGTCCAGCTTGTTAATCGCATCAATGACTCTTTGTGCCTCCTGTGGATTATGCCATTGATGAACTGGTCTAACGTTAGTGACTTAGCCCAGTCCGCCATGCGTCGCCCATACCTGGCCTTTACAATTACCCCATCTAGCCACTTGGCTGCCTTACTCTCGAGGTAAGATGCAACGGTTACCATTTCGTCCTCTAGCAAGGTCCTCTTGGCCTTGACCCAAACCGGGACTGTCCTCAACCATGTGTTGAGTTCTTCGTCCTTCCTCTCGCCTGAGAAGCCAAGAGGCGGTTTCATTGGGGTCTTGGGGTACCATTGACCTTGCTGCTGTCCTTGTTGAGGAACAGGTTGTTGCGGTGGTGTAGAAGAAGATGCAACAGTCTGTGCGACTGCTGCAGACGTACCACTTGGTTGTGTGCCAGCTTGAACTGGAAAGGGGCATGACATTGTCGATAATGGCAACGACGATTGTGCTGGTGGCCTGTATCCTGGCCTTGTCAATACATCCAGGATCTGGTCTAGAGTGCTCTGCATGAAGTCTAATCTGCTGTCCACGTGCGCATGCAGCGACAACATATTCTTCCTCAGTACTTTCATTTGGTCAGTCAATGCTGACTCGTTCAAGCCCTCTAACTCAGCCTTGTCAGCCTCTAAAGTGTCAAGCCTGGCTGCTCTATTTTTCATCTCTCTTTCCCTATCGGTTGCCTTTTTCAGATCCTCCTCTAACTTCTGGCGGAGCCTCTCGACCTGTTGGATCCCTCTGAGCCCCCTCTCACGTGGGGTCAACGGGCTGAACTGCGAGCTCGCCATTTGACTAGTAGACTTTCGAGAACCCATTGAACTGGAAGTGCCTGTGGAACTTGTTGGCATTCCCTACTGAATCCCATTTGTCACAGACAAAGCCGCAGAGGATGCTGCTGAGCTAGTCATGGCTGCTGCCCTAGCTGCTGCGTTTAGTGTGGCCCTAGCTGCTGCTAGTGCATGGGCTCTACGTTCGGCTATAAGCCGTCTTTCTTCTCCTGCCTGGTTGTAGGGCCTGAAACACGAGCGGTACCCTTTAGTGCCTCTGCACGTGTTAGTCTCCTATTGTCAGCTCTATCATCAATAGGGTCTGACCCACTCATTAGTTAGGCAGATAGTATCTGCACTAGAATCCCCTAGTGGAATCCTACCACAACATGTATTTGACCGGCACCTGATTTTCTAACAATAGTTGTGTCCGACAAGTCCCCTACTATACCGATCAAGTGGTATGACTACCACATTCACACAGATTGTCGACATAGACTAGATGTACTCTGATTGGTTCACTTACAGCAGCATTAGACAGAATTGGCTATGGTAGCATACAGCAGTCCTAATCTAATCTGTCTGTGAGGTTAGCAGTCCGTCCACCAACTAATCAAAAGTACAAAAAGACAATGTAGCAGATGTATGATGAGTGGGTTTGGTTGTGTATTTAGTTGAGCACCAATTAGAACCTACCCTCTCCTTAATCCAACATACCGAACAACATCATTGAGCAGGCAGTGTCTTCGTGTGTATTTCGGCCCACCCCTGTGCCCAAGTCGTTACCGAGCAAGCCAGCCCAACCACTCTTATTTACCGTACGGCGACACCCCATGTGATCTGGCTGATAGGGAGGAATTTATAGAGCGCCCCCATCTCTTCAGGAATTCTTTAACGTCGCAGTCAGGACGACGATCACAGCCAGATTCACAATGAACTCCCAACCTGAAATGTTTATAGATGGTCTGGTAAGCGTCTGTCATGGGCTGGCACACCCGGCAGGACTTCTATTTAGTGCAGCAAGTGCTAAAATGGACAGCGGCAATCGCATGTGTGACCTACTCCCATTGGGTTGGCATGGTGACCGTGACCCAGTGCTTCGACCAGGGCCCTTCAGAGGCACCGCCCTTTCTCCTTCCAGATGCTTCCGGGGAGATTGTCGTCTCTCAAGGTAGAGCGTTCACGATACTTGACAAAAAGAGAGGACTCTCAAGTTGGACTCACTTCCTTACGGTAAGAAGAGATTGAGAGAGTAGATATGGTAAGGGAACAACGTACCTGGAGATAGCTGCCCCCAACCACAGCTTTCTCGCCAATTGAGATGAGTGTGCATTTGATAACCGGTCTTGACCTCGGTTCCACCCACAACGTAATGTAGTGCCACCTCAGCCGAATGCCACCTCAGCATGCTCTCATCACCAATCATACATTCCGCATGTCACCAGGGCATACACTGCTGTCCTAGCCTTCCGGGGCACCCCTCTCTACCCAGGGCGTGCGCCTATATATGGCCTGACGTCACAAGTACCAACTGCGAAGAAACATCTTCAACGCACCAAGTCTGTATAACGCCAGCGTGCCAGAGGTAAGTGGCGAATCATACCGGCCCCGATACCAAATTGCAAGGAACACGAGTATGGACGGAGCACAGAAATCCAGAATGCAAAATCACACTGAAGTCCAAGTAGTCAAAGCCACAGCAGATAGCACAATGGAACCGAGTAACCATTCAATTTTTAGAATGATACAGAAGAATCGTGAGTCAATGTCCAAGCCCAACAGGGAAACACCAACAAAATAACCCAATGTACCACTCTCTTGTGAATGGCGCCAGGCGCCCTATCTGCTCTACAGACTAAGCGGACAACTACAGCAATGAAAGCAACCAGACAACTTGACTACCAGTGAGTGATGATGTCAACACCAATGCCGACCTCCACCTCCACCAGGTACGTGTCCTCTTCACCCACACTCTCCCTTGTACCCACACAGCGCCCTTCACCTCCGAAGGACCACCTTCGCCCTTCACCCCTCTGCGCACACAGGCAGCCCGGCTATGGCCTCCAGCGCCCTGTGGCCACTGGCAGTGCCCTACCGCCTAGCGCTGTCCTGCTTCTCTCAGCCCTTAGCGCAGCGCAGCATGCATGCAACGCAGCAGCGTGCCGGCCTTGCTCGCAATGGCCAAGATCCCTGCCCACTCGCCCTGCTTGCCTATATGCCAGTGTTGCGTGTGGGCAGCCTCCCTTCAGCCTGCGTCTGGGCCCCAGTGGCTGAACCCAGCTCAATACAGTTGAGGCCCGGGGCAATGCAGTTGTGCCTCTTTCATCAAGGCCTGCGGCCAGATTCAGATAGTGGGCCGATTTCCCTTTGGCATTTTCGGCCTCTATACCCAGCATGCATTGTCGGCCTCACGTTCAAGCACCCAGGGCCTAACTAACTTAGAGGCCCTGGGTTTTCAGCATTTGCTGAAAGTTGAGACTCGGTGCACTCCAACCAACTGGCGTGCTGCAACTGTATGAACCCCACTTCGGGAAATGTTTGCAGAGAGGGCTCTTGTTGATTTGCTGGCCCGCCTTCACTTAGTACGGTGAAATGTTAAGAAAAAACTTGTAGATTCGTGTGGAGCCCAAACAGACATCAAGAATTTCTATAAACTTCGTATAAAGTGTGTGCAGTACAAGCCGGAGGGGTTTTTAGCCCTAAACAAGCCGCAATGCACTGAGCTCCAGAGTCCAGTCCAGTTTTATTCAAGTGGAAACATCGTTGCTCTATTTTTTGCCACTGCGACGATCGATTCATGGGTGAAGTTTTGCTGTTTTAAACCACCAGTACGTTTCCCAGCAAGAAGTTGAAGTGCCGCTGGGCATGTTGCCGCGTCCCGGCGTGCATGCTCTTGGTAAATACCCCTGTCGTGGCACATCCCTCCAGGCAAAACCCCTGTTGTGGTGCTTCCCTCCAGGCAGAGGTTGTGAGATCACCTGCTGATGTGTACTGAATTCGGCTGGCCCAACCATGTATTCTGGGCAGGGAGGGATGGGGGTGAGGGGGTGTTGGGTGGAGAGGAGGATGAGGGCGGTGGAGGGGTGGTAGGGGGAGGGCTCGAGGGCAGCGTGGGGGGGGGCGACGGGGTAGCCGGGGGGGAGATGGACGGCATTGGTGGCGGCATTTGCGTGGGCAGGGGAGGGGCTTGCGCCACCTGTGGAGGCTGGGAAGCTAGCCCATTGTGTATGTGATGACCCTGGACAGCGTCCTGAGTGAGTACTGTCAACGCATTCTGTGTTTGGCCCGGTAGAGGGGTAGTGAAGCATTCCACCCTCCGGTATGACCATTGGTCATCCTGAGCAGCCCAGTTATTTGGTATTCCTATGTATATCTGTAGGAAGGTATGTTTGCTTCTTTTTTTTTTGTTTTGGGCGAACAGTTCTTGCTATTGTATATGTTTGGTCAATATGTATATGTACATGGTTAATGTCTTGACTACATACGTGAATATGTACATTTGTACATGTAAATGTAAGTGCTCTTCATACACGTGCACTAAAATGTTGCGACGATCAGTCGGTGAAACTCCCACGAAACAGTGTGCTACATCCTACAGTTTCTTGTCCTTTTCTCCTGTTCTGCCTACGGCTCACCTTAAGCTATGTCTCTGCTCTGGCTGCTTTTCACCCTTGTCGTATGTGTGTGGACGCTCCCCCTATTTAGAAAAAGAAGTGCTTTTGTTCTTCTGATTTGTTCTGTCTACCTGTGGCATTGGTCAAAAGAAATTCCTTACAGAAAAAATGAAAAAACGAACTCCTTAAACATTCTGATTGACGTGCCTTGTGGTCTGTGGTCTGCGGGTGCGGATTTTTTCTTTGCAATCTGCAGGTCTCTTCTTTGGGAGTGATCGGTTCGACCGGGTCGAGAAGGCGTTGTGAATGCATAGGGGTTATTGCCGGGGAGCGAGTTTCACATCTGTAAAAGGGATTTAGGATGTTCTTCAATTCGATGGGTTCAGTAGGACGTTGATTAGGGGAGTTTTAGACACAACAGAGAGAGAGAGAGAGAGAG